CAGTTTTCAACAGAAAGTTTGAGAGGAGATTTAAGAAGAGAGAGAGAATTAAAGAGGGTTTTATATTGTGGGGTATTCATTTATTCTCAAGTGAGAATTGAAAGAGTTCATACCCTTTAATTATTAACACTGTAGCTACAGTGTTCAATTGAGAGATCTCTTTTTGATCTGCTCTTATAATTGTAATTTCTTGTTTGATTAATAAGAAATTATCTGTGTGGCTCCCGAGGACGTAGGCAGTTGCCGAACCTCGTTAAAACTTGGTGTACTTTTTCTATACTGAGTTTCTGTTGCATTAGGGATTTCGGCCTTAAATTCCTAACAACTGGTATCAGAGCGTGAAATGATCTAGAGGAAGTCAGATTCAAGTGGGAGCCATGACCGCAGATGAAGGAAAACTGAGACTTGAGAAATTTGATGGAACAGATTTCGGATTCTGGAAAATGCAGATAGAGGATTATCTGTATCAGAAAAATCTGTATCAGAAAAATCTGTATCAACCACTATCGGGGAAGAAGCCAGATTCTATGAAGGAAGAAGAGTGGAACCTTCTAGATAGACAAGCCCTCGGAGTTATCAGATTGACGTTGACTCGCAATGTTGCGTTCAACATAGCGAAGGAGAAGACCACGACGGGTCTTATGGCAGCTCTCTCAAATATGTATGAGAAGCCATCAGCCGCGAATAAAGTTTATTTAATGCGGCGGATATTCAATCTGAAAATGGCAGAAGGCGCGTCAGTAGCACAACATCTCAATGAACTTAATACGGTTACAACCCAATTGAGTTCAGTTGAGATTGAGTTTGATGAGGAAGTTCGGGCGTTGATACTTTTGTTTTCTCTACCAGAGAGTTGGAACGCTACAGTCACGACAGTGAGTAGCTCATCGGGAAATAAAAAGTTAAAGTTCGACGACGTTCGTGATTTGGTTCTCAGTGAGGAGATCCGACGGAGAGAGACGGGTGAAGCTACAACCTCTTCAGTATTGCATACAGAGTCAAGAGGTAGAAATTTAACCAGAGGAAACGGACGAGGAAAATCAAACTTCAGAGGTAGATCAAAGGACAGGAGGTCCAAATCAAGGAATCCAAGCAACAACTCGAAGGCTATCGAGTGTTGGAATTGTGGAAAGACCGGGCATTACAAGAATCAGTGCAAGAGTGCACAGAAAGAGAAGGAGGTGAAGGCAGAGGTGAATGTCACTTCCACTTCAGGAGGAGACGACGCATTGATATGCTCTTTGGAGAGCAAGGAGGAATCTTGGGTGTTGGATTCAGGAGCGTCGTTCCATGCTACCTCTCAGAAAGAATTCTTCGAGAAGTATACCCCCGAAAATCTTGGATACATATATCTTGGTGATGATCAACCATGTGCTATTGTGGACAAAGGCGTGGTAAAAATTAAGTTGAACAGGTCTGTATGGGAGCTGAAGGATGTCAGGCATATTCCCAACCTGAGAAAGAATTTAATATCCGTAGGCCAGTTGGCTGGCGAAGGATATACCACGACCTTCCATGGAGATGATTGGAAGATCTCAAAGGGCACAATGATGATTGCCCGAGGCAGAAAGACTGGTACCCTATATATGACAGCAGGTGCACGTTGTTTGATTTCAGTTACAGCAGGCAATGAAACTTCAAAGCTGTGGCACCAGAGACTCGATCATATGAGTGAGAAGGGGATGAAGATCATGCACACAAAGGGAAAACTCCCAGGACTGCAGTCAGTGGAGATGGATATGTGTGAAGAATGTATACTTGGAAAGCAGAAGAGAGTCAGCTTTCAGACAAGTGGCAGAACCCCCAGGAAGCAGAAGCTAGAGCTCGTTCACTCAGATGTGTGGGGACCAACAACCACCGCGTCCATTGGTGGAAAACACTACTTCGTGACTTTTATCGATGATCACTCTCGGAAAGTGTGGGTCTACTTTCTGAAGGATAAGTCAGAAGTATTTGAGGCTTTCAGGAGATGGAAAGCTATGGTCGAAAATGAGACCGGTCTGAGAATAAAGAAGCTCAGGACCGATAATGGCGGTGAGTATGAAGACACCGGATTCAAGAAGTTCTGCTATGAGCACGGGATCAGAATGGAGAGAATCGTGCCCGGCACGCCTCAGTAAAATGGTGTAGCTGAGCGGATGAACCGAACGTTGACAGAGAGAGCCAGAAGCATTCGAGTACAGTCAGGCCTACCGAAGCAGTTCTAGGCAGAAGCGGTCAACACAGTAGCTTACTTGATCAACCGAGGTCCATCGGTTCCATTGGAGCACAAAATACCAGAGGAGGTATGGTGCGGAAAGGAGGTAAAACTCTCACATCTTAAAGTTTTCGGTTGTGTAGTTTACGTGCATATTAGTGATCAAGGCAGGAATAAGCTTGATCCCAAGTCAAAGAAATGCACTTTCATCGGCTATGGTGAAGATGAATTCGGCTACCGCATTTGGGACAACGAAAACAAGAAGGTGATCAGGAGCAGAGATGTGATATTCAACGAGAAGGTGATGTACAAGGACATGCACAAGACAGATGACTCAGAGAGTGAGTTAATATTTGTAGATGCAGATGATGTCCCGAGTAATCTCTCGGAAGAACCAAATGCAGAGGGTCCTCAGCAAGAAGAGCCTGTTGGACAAGATGGTGCGGATGAGCCCAACGCACCAGCTCCGATATTAAGAAGATCTTCTCGTCCTCCTGTACCCAACAGGAGATACATGAACTATCTGTTGTTGACAGATGGTGGAGAGCCTGAAAGCTTTGATGAATCTTGTCAGTGTGGAGATGCGAGCAAGTGGGAGCTTGCAATGAAAGATAAGATGAAGTCTTTCATATCAAACCAGACGTGGGAACTAGCTGAGTTGCCCACGGGTAAGAAGGCACTCCACAATAAATGGGTGTATCGGGTGAAAGAGGAGCAGGATGGTTCCAGATCGAAGATATAAAGCCCGACTGGTTGTCAAAGGTTTCCAGCAGAAGGAAGGAATTGACTACACCGATATTTTCGCTCCCGTGGTGAAGTTAAATACTATCAGGACCGTGATGAGTATTGTAGCAATTGAAGATCTTCATCTCGAGCAGTTAGATGTGAAGGCGACGTTTCTTCACGGAGATCTGGAAGAGGAGATATACATGCACCAGCCAGAAGGTTTCTCAGAAGAAAAGAAGAAGAACCTGGTATGCAGACTCAAGAAGAGCTTGTATGGCCTGAAACAAGCCCCAAGGCAGTGGTACAAGAAGTTTGACGGCTTCATGCACAAGGAAGGTTTCCAGAAGTGCAATGCCAACCACTGTTGCTACTTCAAAAGATATCAGTCCAGCTATATCATCCTATTGCTGTATGTTGATGATATGTTGGTTGCAGGAGCAGATATGGAGGATATCAGAAGTTTGAAGCAGCAGCTGTCAAAGGAGTTTGACATGAAGGACTTGGGTCCAGCGAAGAAGATCCTTGGAATGCAAATCACGAGAGATAAGAAGAGAGGTCTCTTGCAGTTATCTCAGACGGAGTACATCAACCGTGTTTTGCAGAGATTCAACATGGGCCAGCCATTTTCGTCTATCGAAGGATCAGTCTCCTCAGTCAGAAGAAGAGAAAGAGAGTATGGCTCAGGTTCCTTACGCCTCAGCTATCGGAAGTTTGATGTACGCAATGGTCTGTACGAGACCAGATATTGGCCATGCAGTGGGAGTGGTCAGCCGGTTTATGTCAAATCCAGGAAAAGCTCATTGGAAAGCGGTCAAGTGGATTTTGAGATATCTACGAGGCACCACACAGAAGTGTTTGCACTTTGGTAAGGGAG